TAGGGCTGTTTCCACGCTATGAAAACGTTTATATGCCGACTGGAAAGGTTCTTCTAGGTTGTTATTAGCCAAATGTTCCAGACGCTGACCGGCGGCGGCCTTCTCAATTACTTTAGACAGGAGTTTTAAATTTGAAATAGGTCTAAAATTTGTGTATTCTTCGTATTCCAACGAATCTTTCTTTAGTTTTGGTTTCAACACGGCTTCTTTTAGTTTTCCAGGCATACAACCTGACTGAAGTGACTCATTACTGATCTTAGTAATTATAGGTAAGAGAGTCTTCTGACAACTTTGAAAGATTCTTGCGGGAACTGGATCAAGTTCACAAGATTTTTTTCCAACTATATCAATAATATTTTTAATTTCATGTTCCGTGACTTCTTGAAAGTTAATGAATTTAGCGCATTGTACATATTGCTCCTCTTGATTTAGCTGATTACAGTGGGAAGAATCAATGACTAGTTCTTGCCGTAGAGTAGTAATCTTATTACTGAAGAAATCTGCAAATTTATTCACGAGTTCTGTGGTCGATGACGCAGTTGGATAGCGCTTTTCTGACTTTCGATGGAGAAATTTATCAACCGTACTAAATAACACTTTCTGATTACGTGCATTGCTAGAAATAACCGATGAATAGTATGTTGTCTTAGCATTCTTTATCATGGCATTCACTGTCTCACATTGTTTAACATATAACTGTCTGTCAATACATAATCCAGATGCGCGCCAGCGGCGCTCCAATTTCCTGCGATTTCTTTTTTCTTGACCAATCTCTTCATTGTACCATGGTGATAGAGGACGGAGAGTTATAATTCGTCGTTTTTGTGGGGCATGTTGCTGTAATGTTTCTTTCAGCGTGTTTTCATAATCATAATCATAATCATCATCTAAATCTAGCACTTTTAGATCTTCATTGAAACTATTCATGTTTACATTGTTTAATTTTCGATAGTAAATTTCAGCTTGCTCCAATGGTGGTTTCTCTAATTTTAATGTACAATGTATGGCAAGATGATCCGATATTACTGGATCATGTGTTCTGATACCCGTAACTAATTTATCTCTTAGAGCATTGGTTCGTACAAGCTAGGAGGAGTTTAAAATACAAGGACTTTCAAGGCCATATAAAGTACATGCAGTAGTATCAGGGAATTCAAGGCTGAAAAGGAGGCGTTGGAAATCAGTAAAAAGTTACGTAAGGGTTACACCGTTCAACGAACAAAATCAATTCAACAAAATCTCCGTTTTTTAAGTCAAACCATTTCAGAAAATATCTAAAAACTAGAGCATAAAGAATTACATCATTTCCGGACAAGGGCCTTCGCTCGAAACGTCGAAGTTTTGCTTGTATTTTTCAGGTTTGCTGTATTTCAATCTCTTAATCCGCCTGTCTTGAAGAATTAAAAGACTTTCAAACGCTTCTTTATAAACTCAAGGACTTCCAAGCGTTGAAATTTTGTTTTCAATTTCAAGGACTTTCAAGTTTTGTCCGAAGCCTGCCTTCGCCTCCTTCATTACAACTCGATAAATGTACACGACAGGTGGTACTCCACCATTTAACCGCTTCCACTTTAAGTTTTCGAGGCTGCCATGCTTGCTTTTTTGAGAATCTTTTTAACTCACTACCATCGGCAAGCAATTAGAAAAGTTAGTCGCACCTTTTGCAATGTCATTGAGAGTTATCAAACCATCGAGGTTGATAATCACAGTCGAATAAGATAGGACAAAAATATGCTATATACTGATTTCCTATGCTTTATTCATCATTAATAATTAAGAAGTAGGACAATGCATACAGTACCTCTGGTGGTAGAGATGACAGTCCAAACGGAAGTGAAATTGCCGGAAATGACGTAGCTTGATATACAGCCATCGCATCAAATTCATCGGCTGTCAGAACAATTTCTTTGGCATCTGAAGGGACAGTATGCCAACCAAACAAACTCGGTAAACCATGTCTATTTTATAGAAGTAAAAAAAGACGTTTTGATGTTAACACATAATTATTAAAGATCTGCGTAAGCACCCATGATGAACTTAGTTAGAGTGAACGCTTGATATTATATAGCAAGTGTTAAAGTTCTATTTCCAGCTTGCAGTTTGGACAAAACCATATCATGTGCCGTTCCACAAAACATCATGCTCACTGCATGCCTTGGTGAGGGGCAACCGGTCAATAAATTTTGCAATGAGACAATTATTGACCGGTCAATAATAAAACCGGAAGTGAGGTTTGTTGTTGCTCGGGGACCGCAAGGTCTTCGAGATAAAATGTTAAATTACTAACAGTATATAGTATGTCCTATAGTTTTTACCAAAGATTGTAGGTTCACATTTTTCGAACCCACGTCCATTTTTACTGAATGTTTAATGACGAACTATGATGTAAAATTGGAGTGTAATGTGGATGTAAAATTGGAGTGTAATGTAGATGTAAAATTGGAGTGGAATGTAGATGTAAAATTGGAGTGGAATGTGGATGTAAAATTGGAGTGTAATGTGGATGTAAAGTTGGAGCGTAATGTGGATGTAAAATTGGAGTGTAATGTGGTTGTAAAATTGGAGTGTAAAAGTGGATGTAAAATTGGAGTGTAATGTGGATGTAAAATTGGAGTGTAATGTAGATGTAAAATTGGAGTGGAATGTGGATGTAAAATTGGAGTGTAAATGTGGATGTAAAATTGGAGTGTAATGTGGATGTAAAATTGGAGTGGAATGTGGTTGTAAAATTGGAGTGTAAAAGTGGATGTAAAATTGGTCCCACATATCCCAATGCCTAAACGTAATTTTATCAAATTACATGTACAGTAGCTTATTTCCCTGTTTTGAACAATTACATGATATTATCTATTATGTTTGTGTACCTTGGTTCCAGTGCGCCAAGGCTCTCCTCGTCTTTTATTTTAACTTGGTGAAGCTTAATGCCACATAATTTTTCTCGCTCATAACTGTACCATGGAAATGCAAGACATAACTGTTGTTTCTGTGACCCATCTGGAGCTGAAAACTAATAGTAATCTCAAATATAAAAAAATAACATATCATTTTTTAACTGAATACGATTTACCAGTCCTGTGTTTGAAAGTGATGATGATCAACTTCATTTAAACACGCTAATTTTCAACACACAGGCAGCTGATTACCAAAAGAGGCGTACTAATATTACAAAACACAAATTTAAAAAAGTACTGTCACTATAGTGATATTAAGAAAGGAAAACAGGGTAAATACCGACATAAAATGATAGTGTTTTCTGATTGGCTTCATAAAATAATAGTGATCAGTGTTTATGACTCGTTCTTTAGAAAGATAATTTCTATAGTTCATTGTCTTTTATTGTTACCATCAACCAATCACAAAGCCCGCTCATATAGCTTGGTGGCGACCCAGAAAACAAGAAGATGGAAAATTAAGGAAAAGAATAGTAATAGCCTGAATATCAAGCCATATTGCCATTTCTTCAGAAGTGCGGGTGGATGACACAAATCCCTGACTGGCTGCATGTAAAAATGCCAAAATCTGGCTTTTCGCCTGATTGGTCTATCGGACAAAGAGATTTTAATCTGCCTTTTTGTTTGGTTAAATATGTATTAATTGGATTATGCCATGGGTGTATATTCACTTTTTTTGCAGGTAACCAAAAATAATTTGAGGTTAATGTTGGGAGCAAAGCGAACAGCAGGAGGAGGTTTGGGACCGCGCAGATTGCGAGTTGCCAAGGGCGACCGGGCCACCGGGGAAAACGTTTTGAGCAATTGGCCTTGAGAAAGTCAAGTTTGCCAATAGGAAACATAACTCAGATCTTGACGCCTTGAGATTTGCTAAATAAAATTTGGCAGGTAAATAGTCAAAATGTCAGACCACAACAAGTTTGAAAATAGAAAAGAGAATATTATAGAAAAGAGACGCCTATTAAATCTGGTCGGTAAATATTGCAAAAAAGATGCTGAGAAAATTGACATTTTCTACCATACTAGCGTGCACAAGACCTTCTGATCCAGGTTTGGGGTTAGATTCAGTCAATTGCCACCCGTTCCGCACGTTGTAACCAATAATTTATTGCAATTGTAAAGCGATTGTATGCAACAAAATATTGGGTTGTAACTGAAAACAAAACCACAAGCACTGGACAAAAGTTTTTGTTATAAATGTAATTGCCCTAAAAGGAAGGTAGGTCGCGCCGGGGTGGAGAGATTATTAAAAGAAAGCTGATAGGGGTTAGGGCTGGGGTTAGGGATCGGATTAAGGTTATTGCATTTGCAAACCCATTACAACCCAATAATTTATTGCATACAATCGCTTTACAACTACAATAGATTATTGGTTCAGCAAAGTGTGGAACGGCTGCAATTGCAGGTAACGCGGTTACCTTAACCTGCGATCAGACGTTCTTGGGGAAATTAACGTCTGATAGAAACGTTTATTAAGTGGTTTACCACCCATCACCACACTTTATTTGAATTTAGCCAATCAAAATGCGCCGGAAGTAAAAATAATCGCGTACAAGGGAAAAGTCATGGATTTGAGAAATCAAAATATAATCAAAGTTAGCAAGACTAGTACTAAACTTTGTTCGACCTAAATATCGAAATTCGATCGCGAGTTTACATTTTTCCTAATAAATATGAACGTTGTGATTAAAATTATGCTTGTAGATAAACAAAGTCAAGAAATGCTGTAGAAAATTCATGACATTGTCATTGATAAGAGTTGTATTAAATAGTTGTCAACAAATACTTTAATATTCAGTTTCCCAAAAGTGTTGAAATTTATCGCAAAGAACTGAAAGAAGCTGTAAGAAGAACGGTTACTAACGCAAGGAAAGTGCTGCCTCGCGGCCAAAACTTTGGGTTATTTTGTTCAAAATCTGTTTATAATCCGTGGACAATTCAAAAGTAAATAACACTATAATGGAAACATAACACTATTATAATTTTTAAACAATGAAAATCGTATTTTATTGTAACAATCGCGTGCATATATGTTACAACAATATTCTAATTATCTAAAATTAAGAAAACAGTTCTCTGTAATGAAACAGGTCATTTTCTGAGCACTCCAAACAATATTAGCTAACAAAAATTAAGTAATTATGGGTCATTCCACGGCTTATTTCTCCGACAATATATGTATAATGTGACCCGCAGGGCTACCTCCACACATTTAGCTATTATGCGATTGTCACTAAGGTTAATTTGCGGATTTTGCAACATTCTTAGACACAAAGTCAAGTGTGGTCACTTCCAGAGTAATAACCTAGAATGACTCACAGTTAATGTTAGGATATACTAGTATACATATGAACATATAAGGATAAATTAGGAACATTGTTGACATTCATTGATAAAGAATGACACGTGACCTTAACACGTGAGAACATTATTGAAAAACGTTCGTTGTTCGTTGCATGTTTTGTAAAAAGGCATATTTGTAAATGTGAAGCCATTTTAAAGCGTTTTCTTTCAATAAAACTATAACAGGTTATGGGCCCATAACAGGTTATGGGCCCAGGAGATTCCACAATGGACAGTCACACTATAAAGTGGCTACGTTTTACTGGTTTAGCTGAGGATTATCCAGCATGGAGTACGAAATTTATGGCGTATATGCAAACAAAAGGTTTGTACAAGTCACTTCTCGATAAGGAAGTTTTAATGCCAGAAGTCACTCCGTTCACCGAAGCAGCCACAGCCGATGAAAGACCAGAACGGGCAGCTCAAGTAGAGCAACGAAATCAACAAATTAAAGAAATCGACAAGCGAAAGAATAGCGTTTGGTGTCATATAGCGTTAGCACTAGACAAAACAAGTCTTATGTATATTCGACATGATTGTTTGTCCCCAGATGGAACGGGTGATGGAGCAAAAGCGTGGCGTTTATTACAGCAACGTTATTCAAACGTGGAAAAGCCTACCGTAGTAAGTCTAGTGAGACAGTTATCGCGTTTACAGCTCGGAGAAGATGAAAAATTACACGAATATTTTATACGTTCTCAAGAGCTTATGTCTAGACTATCTGAAGCTGGTGAGAAAATATCAGAAACACTGTTTAATGCATTAATTATTAATGGTCTTCCAGACAAATACGAACATTCTGTTGTACAAGAAAGTTTTAATCCAGCGTCGACATTTACTGAACTAAGAACCCGACTGCAAAATTATGAAGACAGTCGAATACAAAGAA